ATAATTTATTCACTGAAATAACACTGAAAGCTGACTAAAGTAGATTATCATACCAAACGATCTTGTAGTGGCATTGGACAATAACGATTTGTTCCTAGCTATCTGTCCAAAATTCATATAATCATCACTCACGTATTTAAATTTTGTTGTAATGAACATTCATGTGTATTAGTAGTATTACTAAATTCTATCACGGTCAAGTAAAAATGGGGTTGAGAAAATCTCCCCGTAACTAAATAAACCGTATCAAACTAACTGGAACACTAGTTGGAATTCTTTTCCATGGTAATATTTTTGTTCATTCAGTTAGCCTACTAATACAGATGCAATTGGAAATGACATATGGACGGGTTACCGGCATAATTGTTAGCTGGTTTCATAATTTAAACCAAAACTAATACCAATATTAACATCTATATAATATTGATTGTTTTTAATATATCTCAACACAAAATACCTACTACCTATAAGTTAAGTTATTAACCAACGGCTATTAACACGCATTGTTTTATTATTATTACTGTAATCCCATTTTTTATAGCTCAAATAATCTTCACCCAAATTGTCATTTTAAGTGTGTTAAGCATGAAGGCAGATTTTTTAAAAAAATTATTACATGTATTTCCCGACCAGATGCTGCCGCCTTCTTTTTGATTTATATTTCAGCTTATCATTACCCGGGGGATTCTTCCAAGTCTTGGTAACCTTCGGCGCACGACGATCCCATCCAATTCGGTATCGAACCAACATCACGTTGATTCTGGTGGGAGAGTAGTGTAGTGGCATTGGACAATAACCGCACAATCCACAAAGCTGAACACGAGACTACTCAGAAAATAGATATTCAATATTTAACGCGGATAAATACCTAACAATGGAGAAGGCGCGAACAATGAATTGAATGGACTGGAGTTGATCGAGTGGCATGGCTCGGCCATGCAGGCGTGGTCTCTGCTGAATGTTACCTTATATCTTCTATTCATATTAAATATATTGTTCTTTCTCTAGCCTAACCTTGTTCTACATCATGTATTGGTAATTGATACGATACAGTGAGTTGGTGTAGTCGATGATGTGACTTCCACGTAAGATCTTATAGATTAGGCAGTTATATCATGACAAATCTACAAATTTAGGATTAGGTCTATTATTAGAGCAGTACTAATATCATAGTAGACCATAATTCTACAATCTTCAATCTTTAAAAACCGATTACAAGATGCTGGATTGATAATTCCCTTAATTTCTTCAGACGCTTAGTAATCTATGTAAATACCACGTCAGAAATTATTTAGAATAGTAAACTGAGAACTCTATAAAGAAGCTCCAATCATCAACAGCTTTTTAAATCTAGACTTATACATCATATCACTTGAAGACTCAATGAGATCATGGAAAACAGCCCCGAAACATTCTTTTTTCTGAAAAAAACAATTAAAGTCAGCCACGATCTATGTTTGGGTTATCCTGTGAAGCAGCCTCTTGAAGGCACTACAGTTCCTTTGCACGGGAACCAGAATATTGAACCGAAAACAGATGTAGTAAGAAAAACGCTGGGGAAATAGTGAGACTCATGAGCTGGTAATAGGAAAATTGTTCATTCTCATTTTATTTATTTTTAACGCCAACCAGTGGCAGTGTTGTTCGCATTACCACACACCACTCACAGATAGTCGATAGGGAAGGAAGCTCATTAATCCATAAGCATGAATATCACACTGTTTGACGCCTTTCATTTGAATGCTTACCGTTAATATTATTTATTGTTGATGTAGTAGATTTTTTACCCATTTACTCCCTTGATAAACCTCGCCTGAGATTATTAATTTTATTCTGAGGCTGAATTTTTTTAGATTTTCGTTTCACCTAGATGTATTTTCAAATACTTATTCTTAAGGGGATATTGTAGTAGCGTATGCAACAAGGTACTAGAAAAAACATGTTCAACCCGTATGGCCGATGAAATAGTGAAAATTTGTCATCACATCAGTGATTAATAACAGACGGCCACGTCACCCAGCTACGGATTGTGATAACGTGTGCCGATCGGGTCTTCCTGTCCGGCAATGTCTAAATCGGCAAGTTACGATTTCTTTTTGGAGTATCTAAGCGCCGTACTACACTTATTGGAGTGGCAACACCAATCAGGGTTATCTGCCTTTCGTGGTCTAGAGACAGCTCATTTTGGTGACGAAGTCCTTCGAGGTGTTTGTTAGCGCTTGTGATTATTATGAACAGGTGGGAGTATAACACCAATCTATAATTTCATCCAATATCATTTGGGGCTTTTCTTTGTCACTAAAAACCTCCATCTTCGAGGCTTTCAGGATAATCGGTACCCGATCGGCACATTTATCCAGCTTGTCGTAGGCGTTATAATACAGTAAAATAAGAACCATCCGCACCTGTTTGGGGGTCTAAAAAATGGGGCTGTCTAAACAGGCTTTCGTTAACGGTCTTTTAATCGATGACCTCTAACATTCCTGGCAACATTTCTGTTACTGAAGCGTGTCAAAACTAGTTGTGAGGAGCTTGCTTAGCCTATGTCGGACGGTCGGGTTTCCACGTTTAGGTATCGGTAACGTTGAAGCTTTATTTGGGTAAGTATAGTATTCGAATTATCGTATGAACTAGGAATTCCAGGATTAACGCAATTGAATTAAGAAGACACAGGCACAAACGAATGTATTGTATTTAGAATTCGAAATCGAGCATTCAACAAGTACAAAAGAATCATTAGTTAATTCAAACACCACAGTAAGAAACTATTGAGTGTTACAACTGTCCTCATTCATATTCAGTACTGTAGTTGCTGGTCAGTCATAATTTTCTTTCAAACCCACCGTTTGATCACATGAAACGTTTAAAAATCAAACCAATTGCTTGGTAACTCTTCGTCTTTCTGGAAATTGGACTAGGAGTTCTTAGTTAGATCCTGTCCTTTGCTTCTTAAACTTTCTATAGCGAAAATATCCATTATATAACGGTCGGGTACTGTAAACAGACTATTCAGATTTCTATTTGTTACCCTCTTCACTTCATTCTATTTTTTGTTACAATACATAGTTTGATTTTCTCCCCAATAATGGCACATGTAGTTATTTGTTCACATTAATTCTGGCTTGTATGTCCGATTCTGCGTTGGTGTACAGAATGACTTGTCTACAGGTTTGTGAAGTTCTATGAATTTTTTATATCAGACCGTCTGTGGAAACAAAGTTTTTATGTTTGACCAGGCAGAACGCTTTTCTAACTTTAAACGCAACCTAGAATTATAGGTTTATACCCCCACCTGACAAGCGCACAAAAGCGAGGAGAACGTAAGAACACAGGTCAAGATATTGTCACAGGGTGACTTAATGGGAAATTTTCGAAGAATACAATTAATGAATTTATTTATATGAGAAAATTTCTGTACTGCATTTTTAACACATAATATATATCAACTGGTACATAGTTAACTACCGTCAATTATAATGCTGAAAACCGAAAATCACATGTCTTCCTCACCCTATACTATCACAAGTAAAGCACAAGACATTAACCAAATAAACTGAACATGATCAAGAAAAAAAGGATACATACGCCCCTCAAACAAACTAACAACACTAACACAGAAATGTAATTTATACATAATGAACTGCATGCTTTCGCTTATATGTCAGAATGTTTGAAAGTCAAGTTACCACCAGTTTTATTGCGCAAATTATCTGGAAATTTTGCTTTTGTGAACAATATAACCCTTGAAGCATAAAAAAGCATCACACGTCAGAAAGGTACGTAACACCACAGTAAATGCCCTCAAAATGATCAATAAAATGTCCAACTCATTCCCATCAAAAGTAGCGAAGTCAAAGCAAATAAAGGTCTCAGACGTGACTTTTGTGTTCACAAAGAATCAATCGTGAGCCTTCCATTACCTTGATAACATTCTGGTACTTAGTCAGTGTACCTTCAGTGTCCAAAATGTGAGCTTTAGTCGTTCGCGTTAGAACTGAACGCTCCAGCTACTGAACACTCATTTTGTTTGGAGATGGTGAAGATTCTACAGGTATTTGTTGCTTTACAACACTTTCATCAGCAAAACCTTCAATAATTTTATCATGACTAAGCAATAAAATCAAAAGTCAGAAGAGAGGAGGTTCGAAGATATATTTGATAGTTTATCAATATATCGACTAATCTAAACTGTCTAGCGGCTGCAGGAGTTGAGCAAAGCCTTCACACTCATGACCTAGTGCGGATGCGTAACCGAGCACCTTCAGTCACTTGAGTTCATTAAAACTAATATGGTCAGCACCAAATGTCGAAGCCATACAGGGTTATTGACTTTGGGGATTCATTTACAGCTACAATGGCAATGTCAAGTACTCTGTCTAGCGTCTTGCATATTGTTGTTGCTATTGAATAACTGTCTATCGTATTTATTTATTGTTTAACGCATCAACACTAATGGAATAAAGTAAGGTGGACACGCGACAGAGTATTTGTTCAACATCATAATAGACTACAGTTGATTGTTACTAAAAGTATATTTATTTAGAACAAAAGATGAGGGAGCCTGGACCAAAATACCCTCGACATCTTTAATTGAAAAAAAGGGGATGAAACCACGGAGCTCCTTTTCATACGAAGACTTCTAACACGAGGTCGCGCGCTTGCTTTAGTTTCATAGCTCCAGAGAGTGCACTTTCCAACTGTTACTCCACGATCACATCTACCGTTAACAAGCAACTGTTTAAGGCTGTCAGTTTTAGAAGGTATATAGCAACAGCCAAATTTTCTCATTAATGCGCATCCTATCATAAAACTTAGGCAGTGATTCCAAAGAACGGAAAATTTATTCTCTGACTGACCAAATGTTGTTTTCTCACATTATTATCGTGCTTTTGATAACTAGATGATCCACTTTGAAAGGAATTTCATTTCTAGACTTCGACATCAGGAATTTTTGTTCCAATATTGTTTTTCTACACTATCTGGATATAATTAAGTGAGTCGTAAAATCAACCAAGGGGAATGTCGTTTAAGATTCCGCGAATCGGTATCCAACGCAAGTTATTCGAGTAATTTTACGTTTAACGCAAGCTACTGCTGTATCAGTTCTAATTTAGATGGCATTCAAAACAATCAGAGTTCACAGGATATAAGTTTTAGTGTTCAAAATAATAGCAACATCCATCAATGTAAAGATGAATTCGAAGACCAGTCAAGTCAAAGTCATTCAGAATATGTAAGCTTTGTGCTCTAAAATGAACAACACGATTTCTCAAGAACTCATCATTCTGGACTTCGCTTCGTAATATTTGGAAACACTCTGATCGTGAAGACACAAGCTTGATTATAGACAAAGACGATGAACATAATGATGAATTAAAATTAAGGTAAAATCCTCTTGTCATCTGCAGACGTAATCATCAGCAATTTACTAAGCGACATAAGCGAGACCACGGATTACTTAATGAACAAGGTAGGCTTGGTATGTTGACAAAAAATTGTTATGCCGTTTTCAGATAAGTATGTCAGAAAAAATAATTGCATTTGCGAACCTAAACGGCAACTCACTTAAAACTACTTCAGAATCAGTAAAAAATTTATCTTGTGGAAAGAACATTATTATCGATAAACAAAATGTATGTGTACTGTCTTATGGTAAACCGTTTAGTATTTAAATGCGTTTTCGGAAAAAGTGAAAGAGTTTCCTCTTTCCATGACTGAACGTTTAGATAGGTATGAACCTTTTAAAAGACGAGCCTTCAGGATCTTTTCGAAAGTTGAAAATTCTATGGCTGATGAATCAAGCAACTTTGATCGTTTACCTGCGTCATCTCGCAACGATTTAGAACACGCTGTTGTGACTCTAAGGAATAAACTCAAGTCTTTACAAGAAAGCAGTTAGTGTTTCTGTAGCAACTAAGTGAAAATTTCAGGCAGTCGAGACGAATTCATGTTGTGTGAAAATATACTGCGCAGTAATGGAGTCCCAACACAAAATAAGAAACAGCCAGCACATGGACTTAATAAGTACATGGTACTATTGACAGTTTGTCTTCTTGAACTTTTCTAAAGTTGTCTAGTACAGGATCAGAACTCTCTATTCACATGAAGTTTCGAACACCTCTTTCGATTGCTGCGAGAAAACCTAATATCCGGTCTGTACCAAGGTTGATAAATAATTCACGGTATGTTTACAATTTATTGGTAGTTTAAGAAAGGTAAGAGACAAACACAAAAAAGCAAGTGTTTTCAGACCATCCAGTTTGATATTTGATTTTTAAGTGATTCTTTATATATACAGGTACGATGAGTTATTTTAACTTGTGGAGAAAATGATACTGGATCAATCATGAAGCTCACAACCACCGAAAATTTTATGTTCTGAACTCTATAAGGTAGATTTCTAACGGGTAATCCACGAAGAATGTTGGTGTGATACTTTGAATAACATCTGAAGTTTCTTATAGCTTATATTTGCCTCAATAAACATGGAGTATTTAAAATAGGGTACGGAACGGGCTAAGTTCAGAAATATTCAAAGGTCATTGTTTAACTCTTTTGAATAAAGGTTTGATAGAAAACCTGAAGATTGAAACCTAGAAGAATGTGGAACCATGTAGCTTTTGGTTGAGTTTCTGAAGATATTTCGAAATTCGAACTTTTAATACACTGGTATAGTTTGGAGAGTTGTAGACACATAATGACTCGATACTGCGGATAGTTTTCACGAAAATACTCAGGAAGGATAAAAAAACTTTCGTATACGACATGGTAGTGCATTTTTCAAACATATCATATTTACAAAAACCAACTGCTTGCTTAACACGAAAATGTTGAGGGTTACGTCATGAAAGCAGAATCGTGTCTATAAATGCTGTCTATTATTTGAGGAGTCATACGATTTTAAGAAAGTAAGTGACAGGTTTTTTGGGTCAAGCAAATTTTTAAATAAAAAACGGGAACATGTCGTAGCGGTTGTTACGTAATCAACAGAAACTAGATAAAAGTTCATAATGTCATCAATTTGGATAATGTATAGAGAATTCAATCAGTTCGTGAGCTAACACCATTCATTTCCATTTCAATGATTTAGAGAACAAAAAATATATAATGAAGATTACGCAGATCACAGAACACGGAAGACAAGCAAGTTTCAATTGAAAGACGAATCCAAATACTACCAAAATACGGATTATTATATACATTCACCTGAAGTGACATCTGATAGCAGTGACTGTATATCTTTATCTAGTATATCTGATATATAAATTACTGAACCCAGTATTTTCAATTTTTCGACGTACTGAGGACATAATAAATAGAAATTGCGCAACATGACAATAGTGTGTGTAGATACTGCAAAGTATTATGAAAAATTAATGCCTTGCAAAAATGTTATGAGAGTATTCAATCACAAAAAAAGCTAGTTGGAAATGATTAAGTTGCATGAAGAAAACAAGGCGTATAGTGACCCTGACTCATGTATATTGCTGTTAGGGTTAAAATTCATCTCGTTGCACAAGCCAGTAGCCATCTGGACTAAGTAGCTAAGTGGATAACGCGACGGGGTTTAAAGCGAAAGTACTGGCTTTAAGTTCTGGGGTGGAAATAACACTAGGATGCAGGTACAACCAACTGACAAGTCCCAAATCAGACGAAGCACGCCTCCCAGATTCCACTGTTCGCCGCCATCCATCTCTTCTTAAAAGGCGTAGAGTTGTGGAAGACGATATCCTTTGTAGTAACAATAGTTCAGTATCCCTTCTGAGACTATGAGATACGATGATTGCCATCAAATGTAAACTGTTGCACTGTCAACCAGTATGACAGTCAGAAGTAAAGTAGTTGAGTACGTTGACTGTGTCTCTGACTCTCGAAAGTCTTAAATAAGTGACTTACAATAATTCAGCACAAGTATGAAAAGTCCGTCTAGGTTTATTGAACTTGTGTCATCCGTGACGCTGGCTGAATGCTTATTTTTCTGCTGAAAAGAAATCCAATTAGTATAACTAACATGAGTGAAAAACACATTCTGGAAGCAGAGGACATGTGAGTCGCAACGTTTTCGAAGTATTGCTAACGTGTGTTGGAACAATTGATTGAGTAATGATGGTTCCATGTAAAAGTAGAAAACAGATTAGCACGATAGTTAACTTTGATCAACTAAAGTGGTTAAGAGATGCGTCAACTACTTATGGCCGTCAGTGAGCAAAAATGACTAGCGTCTAGAAAGTCGAAAAAAGTCAAAATGACGTTGAGATATATTATTGCTATATAAAGGCGATATGCATATGTCTGTGCTATGTTGGCAAACGTAAGCAACTTGTTTAGTCCTCAAAAGTTAGTTATTTTGACTTGAATTCACTTTCTGTCATCGTTATAACCATTACTTCCTTTCAGCATCATTCTGATCTTGTTTTTAACTACTTAATGTCCCTTTACTGCATGCGTATCAAGAGTGATAATTCGCATAAGTAAATATTTATGTTAGGTTCAACATTGTTCCGCTCTTCTTTTTGATCCTACTTTGATGGAGTGTGACAAAAAAAACACATTTTAGACTAGATATTTTACTTAAATTTGTTTCAATCTAACAGTATTCTTTAAGACAAACTTATTTAGTTTTGTCAATCTCGAAAAGCATCGAGTATCGCTGTAGTTATTTACGAAATATTTTATGTTTTAAATACGATTTGTATTACACAATGTCTTAAGATAATTTTCAAAGAAACTTGTTTCCTAAAAATTATATTAAACAAGAAAATTTATATAAACCTATCACTAGACGTTTTTTGAAATGGTCTGTTTCTCACTGTTTTTACTCATTGAGAAAAGATTAATGTAGTGGCTTTAAGTAATGCTACTATTTTCAATTTTTTTTCGATTAAATCAACCTTGAAAAATTTCAGGGGTTATTACATTCATTAAATGTACGATGTAAAAGAGTAGAATCGATATGACGCTGAAATGATCAATGCCCAGAAATATTCTAACAGGACAAACTAATGGCGATTTATTTATATACAATATATTCAACAAAAACACCATAACTGAGTACGCGTCACATAACAAAAGAAAGAAAATAAATCATGAATAGAAATAAAGATAAAAAGCTAATTAATGATCATCACATTTTTAGTAACCATAGCACATATATTGGTTGTCAAACCTATAAAAATTATAGAAAGAATACACATACTGTAATATAAAATTTTTTTAAACCAAAGGATAAAATTGTAACGAAATTCCGAAGATAATTTTGTAAAAATTCATATTACGATATGACACATCCACTGTCATTTTTCGGATCTTTATCAGTACTAAAAATAGGCATTTCACGAACTGGCTCAACTGGTTCATCTTTGGTTCCAGAATGTTTGTGATCCTTTGAATTTTTCTGACAGAAAGACAGTAAAGGTAGCAAACACAGACAGAGTAGGAATTAAAAATTACTTTATCACAAATTATTAAACGCAGTTTAATGTAATATGTAAATGATTTACAGATCGCGAAATTACGTGTTACTCACACTTAGAAGAATCACTGATAACATGACGAACTATTTTTTTCTATCTTACTTCACCTTCTTTGAAGCATCTGATAGGATCAGAACCTACATATCCATATTTTTAAACTAATGATTGAACATTACAAAGTACATAAGGTAGAAGTTTGAAACATCATTCTCCAGGTCCCCCGTTTCGTCAATCAATGTATTACCTAATTAATACAAATATCATCAGGTAGATTTCTTCTTCATAATTCCTCTATAATTTCAAGTATAAACTACGTACCAAAAATATTGATTCTGACAAATGAAGTCACTAAACACGTCACGTTCCAAAATGAATTGGTTTAGTATCAAACATGAGTGATCAGGTCAGAATTTGCCGTCCAAAGATAATCAAAAATTTAGCAATTCCCAGTAGTTTACATCTAGTGTTACAAGATAAGTACAACAATCAACTATTGAAATGGGTTCAAAAAATATAAATATAAACATAGACTGTACTGTTTGCTATTAACTTGTATGCGTCAGTCAGTCAGCTACAACGTAGGACCAGGCACATATATGCATCGGTCCAGGTTGCCATACCTCATTAGCACAGCAAGATGAACACCGGATTCATAGGAGTGGTTAGGTCAAAGGTGGTAATATATAGGAGAAAAATTGCATATAAGGATATAGTACAGGAAGGAAGGATTAGTTAGTAGAAAGAAAGATATGAATTGATTTTAATTTCTTAGTTTAAGGGAAGACAGAAAGTGCATACACCGACGCCATTGTGATCGATTCTGAGCCATGTCACCAAGAGTCTCCAACCATCGGTTACGAAAGTCACGCGGACCCCAACCAAGTAGTCTCCATCTACCAACATGGCTCAGACTAGAGGTTAGTGTCTTCAAGCACTGATGCCACGTTTTGATTTGGTCGCCCCTAATTCTCTTCCAACCATCTCTAACACCCGTTAGCATTGCACGACGTGGTAATCGGTGTTCAGGCATACGTAACACGTGGCCCAACCATCTCAGTCGATGAAGATTCACAACCTCATCAACTGATTTACCATCATTCCCTAATACTCTGTGTCCAACCTGACTATAACTTACCCGGTGATCCCAACAGACGCCAGCAATATTTCTAAGGCATCTGTGGTCAAATACTAGTAGCTTACGAGTGTCTTCTACTCTTAATGGCCATGTTTCGCTGCCGTAAAGTAAAACAGAACGGAATGCCGCGCAGTATACTCGTCCTTTTATTGATAGACGGATATCTCGCCTTCGTCAAAGGTGACGTAAGTTGGCAAAAGCCAAACGGGCTTTTCGAATCCGTGCTGAGATTTCGTTCGATACCAGCTCATTAGGGCTGATCAGACTTCCAATTAATTTGTATAAATTAGAAACCGAAGTTTAAACATCTGTCATATATATGATCGTAGTCGAAAACAGCAAAATAATCTGTTTAAACATTTCTCCTTAAAGTATAACTTTTAAAAAGTATCAAATTTTATGTTCACACATATAAACACTCGTTCAATTTTTTTCATAATTGATCAGAGTTCTATTTGTTGTTCTACTAATTATGTGGAGAATACAGTAAAAGGAATGTTATTTACGGAATGAAAACTGAAAGTTCAATTTAAAAGATCTAAAGTTATTTTAAAGTTTCGAATTGTGCTACGACTTTTAAATGATTGAACTCATCCGTATTGTCAATAACAAAAATTCGTTAGTAAATTTATGAAAACTTTCTTCAATAAAGAGTGAAATATTTGTCAAGGAATCGATACTTGATGTAATTTAACTATTTGTGGTTTTAAAATGTCATATAAACCAGAAAGATGAAAGACATAAAATTATTATATCTCTCTGACAATCCACCAAACGATACCTATTCTTTAAAAACTACACATAAAACAATAGCCTTTTTACATAAAACTGTGAAAAGTAGGTAAAAAGATCCTTTAAAATGTTTAAAAACATAATATAGGGCTTGGAAGTACACACATATTTGTACACTATCCAGTGACTCTATACATATGTGTTGAGTAACACTGACTATTCAAGCCGATGTATGTAGATTTAGTTCTAAGCAGTGGTGTTGAAAGCCCTAGAAATTTACTTGGAAAAGTTTTCCAAATCTGAAAAAAGACTAAACATCCTTAGTTCAGTCAGCGTTCAATAGAAACTTTCTAGTTTTTGGAAAACTACAAAATTACTTGTCATACCTTGACTTGACAATAATCGATTCTGTTATAATGGTATTTCTTCAGGAGCTACTAGGATATGGAGATCACAACACAAACCTATAAATATTCATGCTTCCTGCACTTAAACTAACAATGGAAGTATAGCTTCTTTTCCTACTTCACACTGTTAGTATTCTCTTGGAGACAAAGTATGGGAGACCCCTATGGAACTGAGAAGCGATTATGATGTTAATATCAAGCATTTAAGTACCAGATATCTCAGGTGACCCACAGTTCAGAGAAAAGACGGGTAAGCCGCGGCTTTTGGCCTATTTGTCAAAAACGAAGTAATACAAATGAGTACTGTGGTATTGCGATAGTAACTACTAAGAAGCTTATAATGGTATCAGAAAGTTAACTTACGGAGTTTGATAAAATATTCTCCACTACTTTGCTAGTATCAAACCCAACGTAAGCGTCTTTCCATCTGGGATCTAACTCAAAATTGAGCTCAGGTTCTTTGGGCGCTGCGATGCCATATTCCGCTTTTATTTCCAAAAATGGAGCGACACTTGGAACTTTCTGATGATATCTAAATTTATTAAAAAGATTATCGAGGAGCAAATGAGTTAACATGTGAATTGTCACTGTAAAGGAAAAATTAAAACGGTAACGCAAGCACAGCAAATTAATACTCACTGTTAAGCGACAAAATGTGTCCAAATAATGTAGTTGGTGATTGGCTAGTGAGTAAAAAAAAAACAACTCCAAGCATAGTATGTATGGTGAACTAACTTGATATTGTGGATGGCTTCTTGGCATTCTGTATCTGTGCCAATATACATATGGTTATTGATATCTAGTCCTTGATCAGCGATCAGATAAGTGTCTACGGTAACATAATCTAGTCAAACTACATGTTACAATACAAAACATAAATCCATTCTTAAAATAATCATGATAATTTTTGAAAGCGAAAAATTGTTCGCGATAAAGTTGTTAACTATTCGGAAGCACATTAAAAATGAGGCTTTCTAAAATACAGCTATAGAACTTGACATAAATACTACTTTTATGAGAAATATTTGAAAAAAAACATTACTTTCTGAATCATTCATATTTCCACCTTCATATGATTTAGCAGGTTATTCGTTAATAATCATCTTCACAAAGAGATTAAGTAACAGATATTTTCGGTATACCTCAATCGAAACCGATACTGAAATATCAGGATGTATGAAACGTTTTACACTCCAACATTGTTCGACGAAGCCAGACCGGTAAAATGAAAATTAGAGAAAGTAAGTGTCGGACAAAGTCTATTGATTTCAAACGACTCCTAGATTTATATAGAGATTAATTATAAGTGGTATCCAAATACTTAGGAAACTCAATTGGTTGAAAATGTAATTCAGCTTAAAGGTAAGAAGAGTGTAGTAAAAGGCAACGCAGAGTTATGAATACTAACAAACGATAACTTTTAACCGTTACACCTTTTTTGAAAAATTCCCCAAATGTACAGCGAAGACTAAAATAATTAAAGTGAAATGATAAGGGTTTTTTTTAAATAGGAAAACTTCAAATTTTCCAGTTTTGTTAGTTTTTTTCTAGCTCATATCTGCTGTTCTATCATCCATATGGTTATTTTGTCTTGCAGTTCGTCAATTTTCTTATCTCAAGATCACTATATTAATATATATATAATAGATTGTTCTATTTCAATACTGACTTCTCAACTTTTTTAGAATATCAAGCTCTGTTTGCATTCATTGATTATTCCTGGGTTGCATATTAGAAATTATTGCTGAAGTGATGTGTGTTAGTTGTTGTATTATCGAGTTTGCAATAGATTCCATTCGTATCAGAAGAATCCTGATCGTTCATAATTAGAAATTACTGTGCACCCAACTCAACCATAAACCAGAAACCGAACAATTTTCACCTAGGTCTACCAATTCAAACTAATGCGTCGGGTCAAAGAAAACCGTGATCAACCAAAGGATCCATATATCAATGTGTCTGGCTGCACTAAACATAACGGATCCATACATGGTTACTAAGTAAATTGCTAAATTGAAGACTCAGATTAAAAATTTTGTAACCTCATTCCGTATAAATAGTTCTAAGTAATGAGAGACCAAAAGAATTTTTGACAAAATTCTAAATAATTAAAGTTCACAACAACAAAAGAAAAAAATTCTGTTCTGAAATATGGATACAATGAATCACGTGTTCACGATGTATTTCACTGATCGAAAGTATATATAATTCAGTAAAATTGATCAACTTATAAGCTACTATAAATTTGATAAAACTATGTATCGTCATGACCTTTTAGACAATTTATACTTGGAAACAAACCTATTGCAACTTACATTTCTAGAATATTCAATATTGATATATCTTGTGATAAAACGATTATGATATTGACTGACTTACCATTAAGAAAGTATGATTATATCCATTTAATCAATATTACTAATAACATACTTAATTTCATTTGAGAAAATAGGTTATAAAAATAAGCAGAAATTAAGCGATGTCATAGCGTTGTAAAATTAAAGAAGATTGCAAATGATCAATCTCTCAGCTGCGATACAAGCATCCTGAGCTGGTGGCTTCGATACGGCGTTATGTCATAAATTTTAGTATATTTTGTGAGTAGCTATCAATGGGGTCCATAATCCAAGTTACATCCTATTTGGCACTTTTCAGTTGAATGCACCTAAATTTGTGATGATGTTCACATTAAGATTCGAACTCAGTACCTTTTCCTCAGTAGCTGATACAATGATGCCCAAAAGTATCATAAAAATTAAGTCTTAATTGAACTAAAGGAATTCAGAGGTTTAGGTTTGCAATATGGTTTTATGATCAGTTATTACTCGGCCACATTTTGTATCACTACATATCATTCATCAACCAACATTCCACTTATTGATTTCAACAATCGAAAATTCTCTATTTAAATGACGAAACTCTCCTTTACTAAAGTAGATCGGTGGATAACCTTAAAGATGTATAAAGCGAAAGGTACTATTTAATTTCAAATGATTTAGGTTTAAACTGTCGTTGATATTTTGACTGGAATTTCATCAGTCTTGATCAACGGAATAATCTAAATCCACTACGAATTAAATTAAAACACATACTCATGGCTACTTATATTAATTAACTAAGTGGATAACGTGATAGAGCGAAAGTTACTGGGTCCAAATCAGGTAATAGACATCAACTCGAAAATCCAACTAACGAGCCAAAAAATGAGACGAAACATGTGTCCTGGATTCTACAGCTAGACGCATACTAAATGAATCGAACCTTGCAACTAAATGGTTAAAAATGATATCATTCATGAAAAAATACTGGTCAAGGTTAATAACTTGGAAACACGCAATAACCTACATTAATCCATTTTCACGTTCACATTTATTATGTGTACGTTCAATTAGTCCAGGCAGACGACGGAAAAAACAATGATCAGGTGGTTTAGTTGACAAACTGACACCTTCAACTTTTGTGTATTCACGCGCAGCACGAATCGCCTTCTCATATGCTTTAAAAAAATATATATATACAACAGAAGAAACTTTACTTTAGTCGACAGAGACGTTGCGCAAACGTTAAAGATGATTTGCCAAAAGCTAGTAATTTCTCAAACACACTAGCAAGTATGGGAGTGTTGGATATAATATTAATTCTACAGTAAAATACTGAATCACCCAGCACTTTGATGTAATTGAACTAGATTCCCAGTTGATTAGTCAGTCATCTTAGAGCTTGGGAAGTGCTTATTGGTCTAAGATATTATACCATATCAGCACGAGGAGACGAAACCAACATAATAATAATAATAATAATAAAAGCAGTCAACATAACTGTATTATCAGTGATATTCAGGAAGTCTAAACATTGACAATATTGTTCTGAAAGGAATAGAAATATATGTATGAGGACATACGAGAACTCAAGATCCATGAGAAGATAAAGAGTGAATTCATCGACTGCGCTGTAGGCGATTGTAAGCCGTCACCCAAATTCTCCAACACCCTATAACAATTATCGTGCAAACCTTAATCAAGTAGTCTATATACATCATCATGATGCAGACCGACAGTAAATAACTTCTTAAATTGATATCACGTTTTTATTTGTACATCCCTAGCTTTATATTTAAATTACACCTACACCAGCTGAAATCACCTGTCGAGGTTGCCGGTAGTTAGGCATACGAAAAATTTAATCTGCTTTACTTGATAAATGTACTAAAATCAGATAATCACAAAAAAGCTTACGAGCAGATGCCTCTTTAAGAATTGCCACAGCTTGACCTGCCTTTCCCTTTTCCAATAAGTCCTCACCATAGTAAACATACGCCTTTAAGAGAAGTAAATTTTTGACAGATGAGAATTAAATTGAAATACTAATGACACTGCATTTATAGTGATGAATTATTAAGTTAGATGATGTATGAAATAACCAGGAAATTTTATGTACAAAATATATATCATCTTTGATAAAAGTTATGGTTAATAAACAATGGAATGATTATCACAGTTCTATTGACTATTTTTCTACAAATAATATTCAAAGTAGATATCAAGACTTAGGATGGATTACTTTCCCACCCCACCCCCCCAAAAAAAAGTAACCTCAAAACGAGTAGAAACAAAAAATATTCACATATGTTCTAAATTTACAAATCCCGCGGATAATATTAAAGAAGTTATGTTGCTCCTTAGCAGGATCTCTTTGATACAGATTAATTTCGTCATACAATAATGCTATTTTCCATGAACCCTACTTTGATTTATCTCTTACTCATTACAGAACTGCTAACCTACAAAAAATATTATACTTAATAGCATATATAAGGTGTACTTACAGTGACGTCACAGTAAAAAGTAAAAGGAGAGGACCGAACAGTGAAGGATCTCCTAAGTTTGTCTTTACCGAATGGGGATATCGAAGGCAGGAGAATAATTGCTTCGATTACGTATATTTACCTATTTTCTTACTGGTAATGATTTTTTACACACTACAGAGTTTACCTAGTTTATCATACGGTCTAAGGCTTTGGTGTTTATAAATCTCATCAGTTTGCTTCTAAATGACCAAATAATGTAACGAGTTGCGAAACAATTTACTACTGCAATATGTGAAGGGATCGATGTGTCATAAATTCATCCGATAAGTAACAATAGTATTACGATGACATAATGGACCATGTGAAAATACCGGTGTGAATAATCTAGTCAAACTAATAATTTGCTAACGAAAATTAGGTCTAAATTCCTATTGAATGACTATCAGTAAACAGCTTAGCTTTAAATCAAAACTCTTCTCTATAAATTACCTATGTTCAACCGAAAAAGTTATAGTTGAGTTATTTATTAAACAGCAAATAATTAATTGAGCAATGAAATGAATGTTACAACAAATACAGAGAAAAACTGTCATTCTAATGAAGGTTAATAACACATGATAACCATGGCTAGTACAACGAACGTGGTGTTAGAGGTTTGATGCAGTTAATTATCGAAAAATAAGTTTAAACTAAATTAATACACATCAAAATATCTATATAAACATTTAGGTGTACAATATAAAATGTAAACATTTAGGTTGGATCCACTTTTATTACAATATACCATTTAAAAGTAAACAATGATAGTGATGAACCGTGTTACCTATGACAACACCAATGATTAATAAACAGATGATGTAAAGAAAAAGGTTAACAATGCTTTCAAAATAATAATTATTCAGAAATTTGTTTTAGGGAAAGACTGATTAACGACAGGCTAGTTATCGATAATGTAGAATTAAAATGTTGCTTACCGTTATCTTCCAACCCTAATTTTTCCGATTTCAGCTTATAATTTTACTATATCTAGCACTACGGGACTTGAATCGATCACTGCATCTCTGTGCTAATGTGGTGTGGCAACTCGAACTGATGTACGTACGTACGAAGTTCTACGTTGTTACTGACTTACTGACTGACTTACCGTTATCTAGACATAATAACAATTTTCTATAAACACTTAATCTGTAAACCAAACAACTTTAATTTGAATAATCGAAAATAACATTTTAATAGATGCCAAGTTATAAGTTGTCTCTGAATAACTAATATTTTTTGAAAGATATGCAAAAAGCATATTGTCGTAATATAAATTCAAGTTATTGTTAGCCTTTTATTAGCTTCCAAAAACAAGAACTTCATGAAGGACACTAAAAGAACTTACATTTTACACAGGATAAGAAAATCAAACGCAAGGATTATAAGCTAATTTACAGAAAGGTGTAAAACATCAGTAGTTCAAAAGGTGTAAATTATTGATTAAAAAAAGACTAGGACAAATACAAATACCTTAGATTATAAGCGACTTCGATTATTCTTATCATATTTCAAAGAAAATAAACCTAAGAATGTTTCAGCCTAAAAGAAGCGTTCAACTTTACAATAAGTTGTAAGCGCGTTCAGCTCAAATATATACTACAAAACTTATTCCTTCAAATGTAAAAACCTTCTTTGGACGATAAAAAGGATTCTCAATTTTTGATTTTGACTTTTTAACGACATTATCGTTGCATATTTTTGAAGCATTCTGAATGAATAACTGTGAGTCAACGTTCGTGTTTTAAAAAACGTTTTGCCAAAGGCTAAGAAAATTTAATCTATTTTCAGTGAAGTGTAATAAGAAAATTAGAGCCCATTACACAACTCAAATGTTTGATAATTATAAAATAGGGTGGACAATGCTGATAACTTACAAGAATGACAAAAATGATCTGTAAAAAATAAGACGAGTACTAATAGAATGGCAATTTCACTAAGATGAACAGATACTTATTTCTTTAGTATACATTAGTATATAGGGTTACAAATCTTTTCATCATATAGCAAAGTTACAACTTTGCCAAATTGAACCAAATAATATAAACTTGCTTCCCAATTACAGTACTTAACGATTAAGTGTTCAACACTTTATGATTAAACGGTAACGTCATCATACTAGAATGCTGCCTTTATGAAATATCGAATAAATTCAGCAGGATAAGACAAATGCTACTGTTTCAGAATTATGGCGATTCAGATATAAGTCATAACGAGTAATGTGATCGTTCACATAGGCAAATTTGTAATCCAAATGAACATAGTTAATCTTATTTTTACTGCTTAAATACTCATATTCACTATAGGTATTTTATTCACTGAATACACTATTATAAATAATGTATTCTTTCAATTAGTTCAGTTGATCAAGTGTCATTATCGTGTATCATAATCTGAGTTGAACACCAAAATATGTGACCGTCAAACACGAATAAACAACATTCAATCATTAAAGCACCAATAGAACAAATAATTACAAAAGTTATTTGTGATATATACATAAAATTCTACATGGAAATCACTCAAGATCCGAAATTCAAGTCAATCAGCTATAACGTAGGTCCATGCACATATATACATCCGACCAAGTTGCCACACCTCATCAGCACAACAAGATGATCATCAAACTCACAGAAGTGTTTACTTCAATTGTAGTAATATATAAAAGAAGCATTGTATATAAGGATATAATGCATGAAGAAAGAATTAGTTCACAGAAAAGTATAAAGTAATTTTAATCTCACGGTTTAAGAGAAGACAAAGAGTGTATGCCTCTACGCCATTGTAATCGATTCTGGGCCATGTCACCCAGAATCTCCAACCATTGATTACGATAGTCACGCGAACCCCAACCAAGTAGTCTACATCTGCCAACAAGGCTCAGACCAGAAGTTAATGACTTCAAGGACTGATGCCATGTTTTAGTTTGGTCTTAGACCACTTAGACTACTCGGCCACTCCACCTGGTGGTGGAGGTGGGATTAGAACCCACGCCTATACGCCCCAAAATGCCCTGGTATGGCCGAGAGTGGGGTGGGTTCGCTCTCCCCCTCGAAATACTCCCACACGGCCACGCGTTTACAGCCTCTGTCAGGGAAGTCCTACTCACTGCCTTCTCTCACCAGGGGTGTTGTTTACAAAAATGAGAGGACGAAAAGCGAATGTCTGGCTCTTTAACCGGATCCCAATCCAAATCAATGGTGCACATGGGCTCCAGTATCCTGCGGGAACAAATGGCGTATGAACCAATCGTTGGTCACCGGCTACCATGAGACTGCATCTCCTCACGATGCTCCACTGCCTAGTGGGTTGGACCTTTAGGTCAAAGGCTCCGGGTGTGGCCCACTAAGACAACCACCTACTTCGGTCTGGGCACCCGGGCAGTATCACAGCCCACACACAAATGATGAACTGCCTAAAATTATGGAAACTACTTTTCTTGCTTCAATTAACAATCAAATGATTCAAATTATTATTATTATTATTATTATTATTATTATTATTATTATTATTATTTACTACATCATTATTCACCCTCTTTTATTCCCACTCTGTCTATACTTATTTTTTCGACTTATACAGCAGCTCGTCTGTGGTGGAAATTCGACTGTATCTAAACGTTCTCGAGTCACTGAATGGTTGAAAATTGTATGTTACCACAGAATATGAGTACTGAAGCAGTTTTTCTGAAACCGCGTGCACCATTCAAACTGGCTGCCTTCAACGTTCGCACACTTATGCAGGTTGGACAACAGATAGGGATGGCTATGTCTTTGGAAAGTCTTAATATCGATGTCTGCTGTCTATCCGAGACCTGTATTCAAGACTCTGGTGAAGTACTACAAATTCGCTCTCTATCTATCGCTTCGAAAAGCTTGTTTTACGTGCGCTTATCCAGAGACCCTGTGGTATCTTCGTCTGGTCTTGCTGGCGTTGGTGTCGCACCAAGCGCTAGAGCTGAGGCAGCACTAATCGATTGGATCCCCATTAACAGTCGGTTATGTGCTGTTAGATTAGAAAGTTCCATCAAAGTGAGAAGAAATCGGTGTGAGAAACGGTGTCTTTTCGTCATCTCTGCCTATGCCCCGACAGATTGCAGCCCGGATGCAATCAAGGATGAATTCTATCACCAATTATCTGTTCTCCAGAAAGTGCGTTCGACAGATATTGTAGTACTAGCCGGAGACTTGAATGCTCAGGTCGGGCGTCTAGGCATAGAAGAGAGTCGTTTAGGTGGCCGATGGGGACTCGTTGGTCACAGGACAGATAACGGGGACCGTCTACTGCAACTGTGCACAGACCACAACCTGTTTCTGGCTAGCACTAACTTTCGGCACAGTCATCGCCGATGTGCCACCTGGCGTCCTCCCTCTGCATCTCAAGCCTGGACTCAGATTGATCACATCGCGATCAGCTACCGCTGGTTGTGTACAAGACTGCCACTCCTTTTGGAGTACCTATCTGGACTCTGATCATGCCTTGGTCTGCGCCAATCTTGTCTTACTTTTCAGTGGACAACAAAGTGACCGTCATCAACGGATTGATATTAGGAAGCTGGGTGCACCTTCTGTTGCAAGTAAGTATGGAACTGAGCTAGCCTCTAGGCTAGCTACCACTCCACCGAAAAGTATAGATGAGCATTGGTTGCAATTGCATGACGCCATGAAAATGGCGGGTACAGTCAGTTGTAGGTTTGCGAAACGTCCCGCTTATAAGCACTGGGTTTCTGCAGGTTCCTTACAACTCATTGAAGCCCGTCGGTCTACTCCGGGTGACCGTGAGTTTGACCATAAACGAAGGATGTTATGTAAGGAAATTGGGCAAAGCTCGCGTAAGGACCGAAAAGCCTGGTGGTCGAAGCGTGCTAATGAGCTGGAAGCAGCACCTGCATCTGGTAATTACCGGAAGCTCTTCCGACTCATCCGAGCCACTAGCAGCAAGAAGTCTGGTGTGAGCGAAACAATCTACGAGGATGATGGGATGCCAATGACTAACATCCATCGACGTCTTGGAAGATGGGCAGAATTTTTCGAAGGACAGTTCAACTGGCCTGCTGCTCCGGCAACATCGGTCAGACTGTCCTGCCCTCCATGGCCGGTGACGACTGATCCACCAAATGAGGCGGAAGTCCGCAAGGAGCTCCAACTCTTGAAGCGCTACAAATCACCTGGCCCAGATGACTTACCTCCGGCCCTTCTTAAAGATGGTGGTGACTTTCTGACTAAGGAATTGACGACGTTGTTCCATTCGAGCAGTGGGGTTAGACAGGGTTGCCCAATCTCACCATTCCTCTTCAACTTTGCCATCGATGACATTCTGGAAACAGCTCTGATGGATGTAAGTAATGGTGGTGTGGATCTGTTGCCTGGAGAAAGACTTCTCGACCTTGAGTATGCCGACGATATTGTCTTACTGTGCGATAACGCCCAAGGCATGCAATCCGCACTTAATCAGTTGGCAATCAGTGTCCGTAGGTATGGTATGTGCTTTGCACCTTCGAAGTGCAAAGTACTTCTACAAAACTGGCAGGATTCCAATCCTGTACTCACCCTGGATGGTGAACAGATAGATGTATTCGAGAAGTTCGTGTATCTGGGTAGCTGCATAAGTGCTGGTGGGGGGGTGAGTGATGAGATCAATGCACGTATAGTGAAAGCCAGAGCGGCTTATGCCAATCTGGGCCATCTTTGGCGCCTTCGTGATGTTACTCTGTCTGTAAAAGATCGGATCTACAACGCGTCAGTGAGAGCAGTTTTGCTCTATGCTTGTGAAATCTGGCCTCTCCGAGTTGAGGACGTTAGACGACTCTCTGTGTTCGATCATCGTTGTCTCCGAAGGATTGCTGACATCCAGTAGCAATACCATATTAGTAATGCAGAGGTTCGGCATCGTGTGTTCGGGCACAGAGACGATAATGCAATCGGTGTCACCATCTTGAAACACCGACTTCGGTGGCTTGGATATGTTCTACGAATGTCGTCCCAGAGAATTCCACGTCGTGCATTGTTTGCCGACGTTGGGACTGGTTGGAAAAAGCGGAGAGGTGGTCAGTATATGACATAGTGTCGTGGCATGAAAGAAAGCTGCAAAGGACTGGCTTCTGTTGGTCCTTCACGACTCCCTGGTTGGGGTCCTAGAGATGGTGCGACACAGTGGCTAGAGACGTTATCAGATATGGCTCAGAATAGAAGCCAGTGGCGATCCTGCTGTAACCTTCTTTTACTTCATAAAAAAGTGGTTGTATCTTCCTTAACTGAAGGGTTTCTTCTGATTGTACCTTTCCGTTCCCCATTATTACCACTATTATTATTACACTACCTTACACCAATCTCCTCGTTATTGTTCTCTTTTTTTTACCCACCTTATCTTTTTTTTCCTTCTCTTTAAATTCTCATTGTTTTGTGTGGCGCACTCTTGTACCAATATGTATGTGTTCAAATAAATAAATAAATTTAGTTTGGTCGCCCATAACTTTCTCCCAACCGTCTCCAACACTAGTCAGCATTGCGCGCAGTGGTAATCAGTATTCAGGCATACGCAATACGTGGCCAAACCATCTCAGTCGATGAAGATTCACAACCTCACCAACTGATTTACCATCATTCCCTAATACCCTGTGTCCAACCTGACTATTACTAACCAGGTGATCCTAGCAGATGCTGGCAATATTTCTAAAACATCTGTGATCAAATACTAGTAGCTTACGAGTATTTTCTACCCTTAATGGACACGTTTCATAGCCATAAGGTAAAACAGAACAAAATGCTGCGCAGTATACTCGTTTCTTAGTTGATAGACGGATATCTCGCCTTCTCCGTAGATGGCGTAAGTTGGCAAAAGCCAAACGAGCTTTTTGAATGCGTGCAGAGACTTCATTAGACACCAACCCATTAGGGCTGATCAGACTTCGAAGATAAGTGAAGTTGTCAACGCGTTTAACTGCTTCACTCGCCATCCTTAATTCAGATGTTGACGCAGGACAGTCCTGAAGCAACACTTTGCATTTAGAGGGGGGGAGAAACGCATTACAAACATCCTGGCATTGTTGTTGAGTGCTACCAAGAGACTGAATTTTATCAGCATCTTCATCAAACAGGACCATATCATCTGCTCGAAATCCAAGTAGTACATAACAGATGAATTCGGAAAAAAAACATATATACATCGCGATTCTGTGTGTTCAAGTGGATGAATAATGATATTATAGACAACACTAAGATGCCTATATCCCTGACGATTTAAGAGGTATACAACGGATAGCTACGATTATTATTATTATTATTATTATTATTATTAATGGCTTTATTCAATATTATAAAGATCAATAAATGAGTAGACACGTTAAATTTTTGAATAATCCCAATAAATAATTATCTAAAACTGATAAACATCTTATTTAATAGAGACAAATGCTATTCATTAGTTGTATAAAGTCTACACACTTACATATGATTCATAACAGAACTGTTTAAATTCTGAATATTTTTTCCATTTCCCAACAACTTTAGGATTACATTGTGTTAAAGCCAAACCTGAAGAAAAAGGAAAAAATCACAAAGATTGGCAGCAAAATGGACTCTAAAACTTCACGTGGTGCTGGATAGTGAAGGCAACCTTGCTAGCAAAAGTGGGCGGTCGGCGGAGATTGAACTAATCCATCACTTCTATGCTGATTTTGGATTACTCGGAGTTCACTCTCCGAGGCTTTAAAAATGATGACGGGTTGCCCCATATGTATGAATTGTAGAAGTCTCTGCTTGTGTAGTTTATGTATGTAGGTATATGCAAAGGGTACGTGCGTGAGTCAGCACAAAGAACGTAACCTGAAAAAAATATCTGCTGTATATCTGATCAAATCAGCGGCCTAATTCTAATGGTCAAAAAACATAATGAAAAAATATGGTAGTAAATACTATGGAGAAATGACCATCAATCATCCCTGAGATAGTGCTTACGTGTGTGTGCAGGTAATAGGTGCATAGATGAAAGTCTTTGGACATAGGTATGCATGTTATATGTGAGAGACAGTCAGATGTAGCATATACTTTCGAGGGGAGTGGTGATTATTTATCCCCTCAGATGGGACAATATATGCATATGGATGCCAAGGGATGCACAGGTGAAAACTTTTTACTGGTATGCATGTAAACTGTATTTGCCCCTGGTACTAGGGAATGATGGTAAATCAATTGATCAGGTTGTGAATCTTCATCGACTGAGATGGTTGGGCCACGTGTTATGTATGCCTGAACACCGATTACCACGGCGCGCAATGCTGACTAGTGTTGGAGACGGTTGGGAGACCAAACTAAAACATGGCATCAGTCCTTGAAGTCATTAACTTCTGGTCTGAGCCTTGTTGGCAGATGTAGACTACTTGGTTGGGGTTCGGGTGACTATCGTAATCAATGGTTGGAGATTCTGGGTGACATGGCCCAGAATCGATTACAATGGCGTAGATGCATACACTCTTTGTCTTCTCTTAAACCGTGAGATTAAAATTACTTTATACTTTTCTGTGAACTAATTCTTTCTTCATGCATTATATCCTTATATACAATGCTTCTTTTATATATTACTACAATTGAAGTAAACACTTCTGTGAGTTTGATGATCATCTTGTTGTGCTGATGAGGTGTGGCAACTTGGTCGGATGTATATATGTGCATGGACCTACGTTATAGCTGATTGACTGATGTGTACCGGTTCAAGTCGCCACACTACATCCACAAAGTAAGATTAATTCATAGAGACAAATTAATTAGTAGTAGACGTAATAACGGTAAGAAGGACACCACATCAAGATTCCAATGAAAGGAGATCTGAGCAAATATGAAAACTACAGAGGCATTACACATATGGAACTCAAAACAACTTTCAGCCAATATCAAAGTGAGAATCTTCAATACGAACGTCAAGGCAGTTCTACTGTACGGAGCTGAAACTTGTAGAACTACAACCGCCCCAAATGCCCTGGTACGGCCGAGAGTAGGGAGAGTCCGCTTTACCTCTCGAAATGCTCTCACATGGCCACGCGTATACAGCCATTACCAGGGAAGTCCTACTCACTGGCTTCTCATGGCGGGGGTGTTGTCTACGAAATTTAGAGGACGAGAAGCGAATGTATTTTACTTTAACCGGATTGGTGGGCATGGAGAGTCCACCTATGGGAGTTGGAAAACCCTGATTCCCAAGTAATGGTGCACATGGGCTACAGTATCCTGCGGGAATAAATGGCGTATGAACCAATCGTTGGTCACCGGCTACCATGAGAATACATCGCCTTACGTTGCTCCATTGCCTTGTGGATCAGACCTTCACCTGCTTCGGTTTGGGCACCCGGGCAGTATCACAGCCCTTATACATATCAAATGGGATTTGTGTTTGGTGTCTCCTTGTACCAATATCTATGTGTTAAACATAAGTAAACAAAATGAAAGAACTACAACAACCAGCATCAAGAAGGTACAAGTATTTATAAATGGTTGTTTACGTAAGGTACTCAACATCCATTGGCCGGATACCACCAGCAACCGCCTTCTCTGGGAGAGAACAAACCAGCTTCCAGCTGAAGAGGAAATTAGGAAAAGACGATGGGAATAGATAGGACATACATTATGCAAATCATCAAACTGCATCACGAGGCGAGCCCCAACTTGGAATCCTGAAGGGAAGCGGAAAAGAGGAAGGCCAGAGAACACATTACGTCGGGAAATTGAAGTAGATATGGAAAGGATGAATAATGACTGGAAGGAGCTGGAAAGGATTGCTCAGGACAGGGTTTGATGGAGAATGCTGGTGAGAGGCCTATGCTCCTTCACGAGTAAAAGGCGTAAGTAAGTAAGTAAGTAAGTAGTAAACGTAATAACAATATCCGTAGCAGCAGATAACGGTAGGCATAATGAATATGATTACAAAAGAATGAACTTGAGAAATAGAAGGTATAAGCACTTCAATACATAGAACTTGATTGTTAGTTGAAGCAAGAAAAGTAGTTTCCATAATTTTAGGCAGTTCATCATTTGTGTATGGGCTGTGATACTGCCCGGGTGCCCAGACCGAAGTAGATGGTTGTCTTAGTGGGCCACACCCGGAGCCTTTGACCTAAAGGTCCAACCCACTAGGCAGTGGAGCATCGTGAGGAGATGCAGTCTCATGGTAGCCGGTGACCAACGATTGGTTCATACGCCATTTGTTCCCGCAGGATACTGGAGCCCATGTGCACCATTGATTTGGATTGGGATCCGGTTAAAGAGCCAGACATTCGCTTTTCGTCCTCTCATTTTTGTAAACAACACCCTTGGTGAGAGATGGCAGTGAGTAGGACTTCCCTGACAGAGGCTGTAAACGCGTGGCCGTGTGGGAGTATTTCGAGGGGGAGAGCGAACCCACCCCACTCTCGGCCATACCAAGGCATTTGAGGGCATATATATTGGCGCTCCCTTGTACCAATATTTATGTGTTCAAGTAAATAAATAAATAATACATAGAATAAGTGGATCTACACCATTGTGACCAATTGTGAGCCATGTCATCCATCTCCAATCACTCACCGAGACAATTGCAAGGACTCCAACCATGTAATCTACAGTTGTCTACACGGCTCAGTCCAACAGTCAATGAATTTATGGGCTGCGGCTTGATTGGGTAACACCTAGATTTCTTCCAGCCTACTCTTACATCAACAATCACCACAAATCGACATAGGCATCAAAGTCTAGAACCCACCTGAAATGAGATTCCCGGTCACAAAACCTAAGACATGATATCTCGAGATAGGATGTTACACTGATGATAATCTAATGAATGAGAATATCCAACTTCAGTTCATTTATCATATAAAATATATATTCACTGCTAATGATGACTAAAATTTATCGAATTTTAAAAGCCTACCATAAACAGTAGCACAAGATGCTTTTTTTACTTAGGGTTTTTAAAGAAAATAACAAACAATATATTTTTATCGGTCAAATAGAGTTAGTTTTATGCGACATCCCGAAAACTCACTAAATATGAGGTGTTCATTAAAAACTTGATCTTAAAAATAACTGGGAGCTTACCACATTTTTCGTAAAACTTAGCAGTTTCATTAGCTAAACCAGCGATTAAATATGGTTTATGTTTTAATTCAATTGCTCTGGCAACAGTAACTGGAATATCAAAAAAAGGTATATTGTAAAGCTGGAGAGTTAATAAGTTAAAACTTTAAAATAAGACATTGGGAAACAGATATGTGGAAAGAAAACACATAGACGTACTTATAACGTAGGTATTTACCAAACTTTTTCACTTCATACACAATCCATCAGAGACAACAAAGAACGTGAAGCAGACGCGTGTCGGTTTAACTTGTTACACTTTTAATTTTTCAAGTGCGTGATGGTTTATATTTCTCGACTACCTGTACCACAGAAATATACTTCTTTATAAGTAACAGGATTTGTTTTCGTTGGATCCAAAGAACAACCACTTAAGAATATTCACCCACGACTGCTTAGTAAGGAAACATAGTAGTATTAGCTCCTTATTTTTTGAATTGTAACACTGGCACCGAAAACCTGTGGTGTTTTATATTTAAGAACATCTCTCTCTTTGATACCTCATTTTATCTGTGGGTATGAAGTATCACTGGACGGAAAGTCGAGCAGAATCTCACGGAATACAGGATGTATCAAAGTTACTTTGTGAGTCAAATACAAGTGTGAGTTGTTTCGAGTAAATTACTAAAATAACTGAGGTCATGGTCTGTTTAACTTTGGCTAAACCGACCCCCAAATGCCCTGGTATGGCCGAGAGTGGGGTGGGTTCGCTCTCCCCCTCGAAATACTCCCACACGGCCACGCGTTTACAGCCTCTGTCAGGGAAGTCCTACTCACTGCCATCTCTCACCAAGGGTGTTGTTTACAAAAATGAGAGGACGAAAAGCGAATGTCTGGCTCTTTAACCGGATCCCAATCCAAATCAATGGTGCACATGGGCTCCAGTATCCTGCGGGAACAAATGGCGTATGAACCAATCGTTGGTCACCGGCTACCATGAGACTGCATCTCCTCACGATGCTCCACTGCCTAGTGGGTTGGACCTTTAGGTCAAAGGCTCCGGGTGTGGCCCACTAAGACAACCATCTACTTCGGTCTGGGCACCCGGGCAGTATCACACCCCACACACACACAAATATGGTGTGGCGCATATATATTTGGTGCCCTCTTGTAACAATATTTATGTGTTGAAATAAAAATAATAGTAATAAACCGACTCAACTACTCTTAAGTACATGGGTTGTAAGTGCCTTTTTGGTTTACGGTATATAAATAGTGACTGACTTAGTTGGAAGAGAATGATTTCTTAACTGATATTAGCCAACTTGTAGTTATCTCGAATAAATACTGGTCATTGAGACGGTGTATTCTTCGCCGTTCAGCTAGTCCCGTGTAAACAGTAATTATGTGATTATCTTAAAATTACAATCTTAATCAGAAATTCCTGTCTTTGAAATAAAGAGCCAAGTTATTGTTTACTGTTCTCTTAGAAATCTTTTGGACAAATTAGCGATTTATCAGATTGGAGTAAAGAGTAGCCCTGATTACTAAATTTTGTCCATCTTACTTATGCTTCGAGCATTATTAAGGATCAACATAGGTAGTGGTTAGGTATGAGTATATAACCGATGTATATCGGAGCGGATATTAACTACGCTGATAAATTAATTCCTGGCTAATACGAGTGTACTGTTATCGATTTACAACAGCCATTCCCATAACTATAGATTATATAAGAGTAATCAGTGCTTCAGTAGACTCGACTTGTGAGAATTAACCATATATATAACCAATAAATCGGCAAAAGAATAACTAAAAACTAAAGTATGAGAATAAAAAGCATAACACTACTAACTTTCTTGAGCTTCTGCTAACGACTGATTTATATAGGCATCCAGAATATTTGGATCCATATCACTGTTCGGAACAAATTCTGTAAACTCATGCATATACTTTGTCCGTAATAAATTAAACAATCCGGCAGCTGTTTTAAGTGATAAATGAACATCCTTGGCTTCATCTTCTGAAACACTGATTTTTTATATAGATACATGGGAAATCAACACCTACTTCTCGTTAGAAGCAACTTTTGCTGCATGTTTAGTATACCATAAAGCAACATTGAAAAGTACTGAGTATAATTCAAAGATAGAATCTGAGCGAACACTGAATAAATTAAGTTAGAAAATAAGCAAAAAGAACATTCACAAACATTGGTTCACCCTTCGGCTTTATACTGTCACACCATTTCACACAAACGAGACCTCTTAATTTACTGAACGGCGTTTTATTATCAGTTGACACAATGAATCCCATTAATAACTGTAAATATCGATTCAAGGAAGTTATGACTGCTTCACATGGTACTGATGGATCCGATATTAGCTTGAGAAGTTCAACACGACGTTTTGCAGCGTCACTAAAATCAAATGAATAAGCGGAAGAATGTAGTCTTGAAAAATCAAAACTTTTAAACAGGATAGAAATATATCAAGGAAAAAATATAGGTGGGATGAATTGTCCAGAATTTTGTAAAGTAAATTCTGATGTTAATTTTATGGAAAAGAAGTTTTGTCATTCAAAAGTTACTATTCAGCACTTTACATACTTCGATTATTACTGAGGATAAGAAGATAAGTGCAACACAGGATTTGTTTTTTTATTAAATTGTCGTAGGAAAACTGCAAAACGTACTGCTCATGAGACAGGACTAAGCTGTATCGCTAAATTAAATTTAATAAGTAACTTATACTACACTAATAGCAAGGACTCTTGATGAACAGATATCTAAGAAACATATGGTTCCTATTTAGAAAGCCTGATATCTGTATCAAAAATGTATAAGTACAACTACGAGTTAAGCTAGGTGTTGAGTGTAAGCAGCATAAGGAATTTAAAGCCATTGACTTATTACAACGTTGAGTTAACTGCTTCTATGAAACCGGTGTTCGTCTTGCTGTGCTGATGAGGTGTGGCAACTTGGACCGATGCGTGTACCTGGTCCTACGTTGTACCTGACTGACATTGGGAAGAACTATTTTCTAACTCCTTCTATTATATCGAAGAGATTAATGTTGTCCCAACAATTTGATATAGACTTTCAGAAAGTTTTGAAAACAAGAGATAATAATAGATCTCATCAAACCCCAGTGTGATTTTACATCCGTCAATACATCAGTTGGTCACGATAGAAACTACACAAATACGTATCTCATTAGAACAAAAGGTGAAAGGCAGAATAAATCAACTCTATTAGAAAAATGGACGTGAATGGTGAGAAAGAAGCGAATAAGATCAAACAATGGAAAGTATGGAGTGCGAGAAATTGACATTTAAAGGAAGAGAAAAAATCTATCTAACTACGTAAATGGACCAATTTGGCACCATATCATTCAATGTCTTCAACTATAAATTACGACTATTTTACGAATCTCAGCCAGTATTTATGTATCACTACTCCTCAAGGGATAAATTGATAGCCGATTACTCAGCAAGCTAATACTGTCTGGATCTATCCATCCCAAGCTTTTTCCCAACTTGATTCTATGCCAACCAAAATAGTACATCAAGGTAAGTGGTCAATGGATTGAATATGGATATGACCGAATACTTGTATTCCATGCATATCATCTACTGCTATATGGTAAGTTTCACAAATATGTGGGAAGGTCGCAAAACGAAATAGATATTAATCAGTCAAAATAGTGATGAAAACTATGACAATTCATTATTGTCTTATTAAACAATGGACATACCTGCATAGAGCCTTGCAGCTTAAATCTTTAGCAACTGCACCAACGTCGAAAGTATACTTAGCAGTAGCCTTTAAGTGATTCCTATGAAACCAATCTGTCATTTTAGATGTTCTTAAACCACCATAAATACCAAATAAAGTCAAGGCCAAAGAAGTGATTGCTTCGTAGAAAACCTGACACTCCAAGTGGAAGTATATTTAAGAACTGCAAAAAAAACAAATTGAATGATTATAACTAAATAACCTTCATGAATGTCTTGAATTGACATTAAGTGATAGTTCTTACTCATTCACACCCTAAATGACACTTGGAAAAATACAAACGTAACTGATGGAAATGCGATGTGCTGAAGCAACTCAACGTGAGAGAGTAACTTCAACAGAAGTCAAATACAAATTACGATCTGACCGAACCTTTGTACAAAAAGCACATTGGTCCACAATAATGTGTCGAAACAACTTAGTAAACTTTAACAACACACAATGGTGCGAATAAATGACTGAATTCAGTTCAACGTAGAGCCTGAAATACATACACTGTTGCAGGTATCTGCTGTCTGCGAAGCCTGAGGAGGTGTGCAGTAATTTAATAATCGTTAAATGTAGTCGAAATTACAGAGTATCAGGACGGTTAGTTGACAGTAAACTTAATAAACTTGATCGTTTCCCTCAGAGAAACTTGAAAATTAATTCCTTTACACACAACCACAGGAGAACTAGGCCAGAAGTGGGGTATGTGGACAAGCGTATTGAATTTCGGCGCGAAAATATTACTCGCATTATAGCTTACGTCAGTTTGTTGTGTATACCCAAGCTGCCAACTTTGGGGAAACTTTGACAACGTTTTTGGAAATTTTGAGGTTTGTGTCTCATTTCCCCAAAATTTACTGTAGCGGCTTCCCCAAAATGGGCCAAATTTTCCCCGAAATTGGCAGCTCGGGTACAATAGTAATCTATTAACATATGTTAGATATTCGCGTCTAAACCATCCCCCTAACAAAACGCTACGATCTCTTATCATAGATTACTTTATAACTAAAGGATGTAAACTCTACTAAAAGGCAGTTCAATGGAGTCCATGTACTCTATTTCCAATAAGTATTGGCTATCAGTACCAAGAGTTGACATCATAATAAAAGGAACAGTAAATGTGAATTTGTAATTAGTAGACAGTTTTGAAACCTGTAAAGGGTGATAACCTGTTGACATACCACAACACAAAACAAAATATGCCCAGTATAAAGAAGACTGAAAAAGCAACAATCTGTAATGGAAGCACAAATATTTCGCACTGTTTATTTGAGGTGTATCGCGAACGACATATAAAGCGTTCTCAAAGCATCATTTTGAAGTTGAGTACATAATTGGTCTTTTCGGGAAATTCTAATAATAGACCACCTGCTTATTACTTTTGCCGAAATGACCTTGACGCAAATGTAAATTCCGCAGAATATGGTCCATTGTCCGATGTCTGTACACGAAGAACATCACCTACATCACTGAGATTTTTATATGTTTTAATATTTCAAGAACTTTTCATACTGTTCTGGACAACCTTCCATCCCCTTTTTGCAACGAAATGAGTAATTTTAAAAAGTGAACTATTGGTTGATGCTTTATAAAAAGTAATATAAAAAGTAATTTTCCCTTCAGTCCTTACTTTTTCTCGTGAATGTGAACGTTAATAACTTATCCCATAACAGCTACATAACCTGCAAATGCTAAGTTGACTAATTTATGATGTTGCAATATCATAAATATGAGTCACTACACATGTGTAGTAACGGGAATAAATCTAGACACGTATAACATTTTGCGTCGTATTTAATTGGAAATTTGTATAACACTGTTTCTTCAGTAGTCAACCTTAACTTAAATAAAGTGGCTGCAACCTAAAAAAAATTTTTAGCGATTCTTCTGTCAAATGTTAAATAAGAACATGGATAGGTATCTTTTTAAGTTCAACAATTGTGCGTTATAGTTTCCAGAATTATTACTCAGCGATCGATGCGTCAGATGCCACCTTTCATTGACATTGACGATATCGGCTATTAACGGAGAAGTAAAAATGGTCAAGGATGTTCCGATCAAATGCTGACGTTCATGAAAGATGCAATTCAAATTTAATGGAAGCGACATGTAGTTCTGAAGCTCTACTGATCGATGAGAAAAACGATGTATTCATATGTTTTACGGAGAGCGATCCTTCATAAAGCATACGGTCATCGGAAAAGGCCATATTCAAGATGAGAAATGTGCATGGACTGGAAACAAAGAGACCGACAATGGCTCTTTTTAGTGACACTCATAAACATATTTTTATACATTCCTATTATTTTATTCCATTTTGTTATGTGTATTCACCAATACTTATACATAAATAGCTGTGTTTTAACGTTCTATACGTGGTTTATGTATTTTTAGAGGGAATCCGATCAGTGCGTAGTTAGTATTAACGCCTTTTTAGCGTAATTGTGTTTGAGCAATTTAGGTTTCGTACTCATTACCGTGTAAAAAGACAGGAAGCCGAAAGAGAACTACAACTTTGGTTAGACGCTGGCAAAAAGGACCTAAAAATTGTAAATTTTCGGGTTGTAAGGCTTCTACAGAGAATGATGCCGAAGCCACTATGGGTGAAGCACGAAGCCACTTAAATAGACTTCGGATCTGTTACACTAATGCCCGAAGCCTACTCAATAAGCGATCGGAACTAGGTGTACAGATTGACTTTACAAAGCCAGACATAATCGCAGTCACAGAGACCTGGCTGACACAGTCTATAGATAATATGGAACTTGATTTCGGGGGTTTTACGTTAGTAAGGGCCGACAGAATACAAAAACGTAAAGGAGGGGGAGTAGTTCTATTCATTAGGGACGCTATTGCATTTGCCATTATCGACAGTGTACCTCATGAGAAGGGGACATGTGAATTAGTTAGTTGCCGCTTGAAATGCAAGGGATAAGATATGCTGATTGGTTTGGTCTATCGCAGTCCAAGCTGTGAGGTAAATGAGATCCTGCTAAACAGTCTCAATACTTGATCACAAAGTGGTCGATGTCTAATCCTAGGGGACTTTAATGCACCTATGGTAGACTGGGAAAATCTGCGAACTGAATCGCCAGAAAATTCCTTCAAGCAGGGACTAGTTGATGCGGTTATCACATGTGCCATAGTGCAACATGTGAAAGAAGCGACTAGGTACGACCCGGATACTGAATCATCCTTCCTAGATCTTATATTGACTCACTATGAGGATGGCGTTGCGAACCTCCATTACATGCCACCACTAGGTAAAAGTGATCACGCAGTTTTTACTTTCGACTTCCATATATCTGTCAATCACGAGCACGCGTTAGCTCAATCCAGACCTAACGTCTGAGAAGAAAGTATATCAGGTGTGATGCACTCAGCATCGTTAGTAGATTGGGCAATAGACCCAGAGTCCTCAATTGAAGCGGCTTGGGATGCATTTCGAAATTCATACTTAAAAGTTATCGCACCCCACACCTCTTGGACTACACCAAGGGGGCCAAGAAACTCTCCACCATGGTTCAGTAGGGAGGTCCACATCTTTCTCCGTAAGAGAAGAAAAGTGTGGGTTAGATTCAGGTTACTGGGGACTGATGAGACAAGATCTCTGTATCGAAAAGCTCGGAATACTTGTGCCTCGACCCTCCGTAAGTCTAGAAAGTTGTACGGAGAAAAAATTGTTAAGGAACCCATAGAATGTCCTAAACGCTTGTATTCCTCAGTAAACCAAAGGAAAAAAGGGAATATTTCTGCAATATGGGGAGACGGTACTACCGCATCATTAGTGGAGGACGATTTTGGTGAGGCTCAAGTGTTCTCGAACTACTTTAGCAATCTATATACCATAGAAGCACCCTTCCCGTCAGTCCATACAAATCCCCCACACATACACTGGATAGCGTGACCAATAAAGAACTCGATGTCTTTGGTCTGCTAAACAAGCTTGACATAGGTAAATCCACGGGGCCTAATGAATTGCATCCTAGGCTAATGAAGGAATTATCTGGCCTTGTTGCGAACCCTTTAAGCATATGCTTTAATCTATCCGTAACGCAGGGTCGTTTACCAAAGGACTGGAAGAACATCATAATAAGTCCTGTCTTCAAAACATAAACCCGAGAATTACCAACCCGTTAGCCTAACTAGTGTGGTTGTTGAAATCTTAGAAAAGATTATTCGGAGGGAGCTGTTTAAGTGCCTCAATGGAAAACGGACCCTTTCGGAGAGTCAGTACGGTTTCAGAATAGGTTATTCTTGTCTCACTAACTTATTAGTCGCTCGTGAAAGCTGGTGCGCTCTTAAAGACCAAAAGTTACTTGTAGACGTAACCTACATTGATTCCATCAAAGCTTTTGACAAAGTTCCGCAAAACCGGCTATTATATAAGCTAAGAAATGTCGGAATTGGAGGTAATCTACTGATGTGAATCAAAGACTTCCTAGTTGGGCGCAAACAAAGAGTACGGGTGGACTCAAAGTTATCTAGCTGGAAAACTGTGCTCAGTGGAGTGCCCCAGGGTACAGTTTTGAGACCAGTGCTATTCCTCTTGTATGTAAATGACCTTCCTCGCCTAATATCATTATCGGTCTTGCTATATGCTGATGATGTCAAGATGTGGAGAACGATACGATGTAAAGATGATAGCTTAGAAATCCAAAATGACCTGAATAAATTATCTAAATGGTCTCAAACCTGGCAGTTACCGATAAATACTTCCAAGTGTGTTGTGATGCCTATCGGTCACCAAGGTACAGATACATACACGATGAATAACACTGAGCTACCTGTCGTCCAGACACATAATGACTTACGAGTCATCGTTAGCCAAGACATAAAGACTACTGCACACTGCCGTGCAATAGCCGCCAAAGCGTTTACAACCTTATGGTCAATACGTAGGGCTTTTAGTCATGTCGACGCTAAAACGTTTTTTGACTTTGTATACAGTGTTCGTACGTCCTAAACTTGAGCATTATATGCACGTGGCTAGCCTCTGTTTAAAAAAAGACAGTGGGCTTCTGGAAAAGGTTCAAAGAACAACAACTAAGCTGATTCCCGGAATAGCGAAGCTCTCGTGTGATGTTCGACTGACCAAGCCAAACCTATTCCCGTTGTCATATCGTAGAACAAGAGGCGACTTGATTACAGTTTTCAAACTGCTTAGTGATAAATTTGCACCTGATATACCCTCATTTTTTTGTCTTCCGAAACAGAGAATTTATGAGGACACTCCAAAAAAGTTCACAAGCCCAGGACAAATTACTTGCCAGTTGACTATTGACTTTCCCATCGAATCATCAACGAGTGGAATTCATTACCTCAGCAGGTGGTTGAGGCTCCATCCATCGACTCTTTCAAAGGAAAGTTGAACCGAGTGAGAGACCACCATTGCCAGGACTAACACAGGCCATCAAGCCTCCTGTCCTTTCCAAACTGAAACTGACAACTGATAAGTTGTTAAATCAAGGAAGTGCACGAAAATAAAAGCACATCGAAATAAAGAACAGTCAATTTTAAATCCATTCAGTCGACTTAAATAGGACTTAAATGTCCGATTGACCATACAATAAATTTTGTATGACAAACCCAGGCCTACTGATTTACACCCAATAAAAGCTGTCTCAATGACTTGTCGAAACTTACCGTTATTCAGACGTTGGGCTGTTTGCATTGATATTAAAACATTCAAATATTAGGAATAATTACAGAAAATTTAGTTGTCTCCGTTCATGGTATACAACAGAATAGTGAAACCATTTTAAATTGATTTCTGACCGTATTATTAGAAACACTAAACTTTACAACGTGTTACTAATAGGTATGTTCAGTTACCTGAAAAAAATCATGTCACTACGTAGTCAGTAATAAACTAATGGATCATAATGTTCATCATATCAAAACTTTGTATTGTTTTAATAAAAATACACTGAAGAATTAGGATGCTGATTTTGTCTTTTTGTATATAATGCATTTGCCATTAGCATTCCATTAGGTAAAATACATAAATACTAGTGGGGAAAAAATTTTCAACCACTTGTAAACTTGACTGGTGAGATTAAATACATAGGTGACTCCTATTATCATACTTATTTGCCGGCCAAAGACATAGAATTGTGAATAAATATAACTAAAAATAGGCTTCCGACCTCTTGAAACGTTTTTTAACCACTTTCTACCAGCTATAATGACACTGTTTGATGCCTGACTGTCAACACCTTTATGATTATTTCTGTCTTAAATGTATATGGCTACGTATGATTGACCATATATGAACGTCCTTCTACATGAGCTTCTTTATAGATGGTTTATTATTTTAAATAATTCTCTCGATGACTTGTTAAAACAAGTTTTTATTTTAATAGATTACGATACTCCAGAATACAATATTTTGGTTACTGTTGACAACGTTTTTGACGCCA